AGAAGACAGCCATCTACAAGCCAAGGAGAGAGGCTGGGAACAGATCCTTCGCTCATGGCCCTCAGAAGGAACCAACCCTGTTGACACCTTGTCTCAGACTTTGGCCACCAGAATTGTGAAACAGTAAATTTCTGTTGTTTACCCGGGCTGGGTACTTCATTTTGGCAGCCCCAGCAAATTGATAGACAAACCTCAGCCAGGAGAATCTCCTGTATCTGTTGGCAGTCTCTGCTTGGCTTTGAGCAATGAATATTCTACCATGCATTTTTACACTCTGTGTAACCAGCTTGCCAAAGAAACTCAGCATGGCAGCTGCCTGAGCCTGCCCGCCCTCCCCTTGAGAGCATACTGTCCATCCCTTAATAAACCCCCACTTTAGTTTCTTGACCTCTGTGTCTTGTCTCTGAATTATTTCTGTGACGAGACAGGAATCTAATCAGTGGTAACACTTTCACTGATGGTTGGGTCCCAGGGGCCAGTCTTTTATCCTCCACCCTTGTTCACTGTTGGAAATTAACACAGGTGAGGCGGTTGTCTGAGTGTCACTTTGGTGGTTCCTAATCTTCTAAGGCCTCTCCCCTGCGGGAGCCCTAAGTGACATCCCTCACCGCAGCACACTTATTTAAAACCCCAGTAATGTCCCAGATCTTGACAAATTTGTCCTCTAAAGCTGCCTGCAAAAATGCTCTCAGCTCCTGCCCTGCTCCCCGGGGGCCTCTTGCAGTGTGGGCTGTTATACTATAAAATAGTGTTGCACAGATGCAGTTCAATTACTTTTGCAGTTTTTAAATTACTTTTTTCTTCTTCTGCCTAGTGCGCCATTTCTGCTACTGAAATGGAAAGGCTGTCAAAGGAGAATGCCCTTTTCTGAAGGTTTTGATTAAATTTCTCAAAGTCTAAGAGCTACATTAAAAAAAAATTCCTAGGCAGCTTTAGAAGACGCTTTCCCTCATGCTCATGTGCGGCGTGGGTGGCTCTGTGCTGAGGAGGGCTGTGCTCAGGACACCCCACCTGAGTTTGGGTGGGATTAGCGGGCTTTTCTTTGTGTGTGGTGGAGATGTGGAGGCAAAGGGCTCTTTCTTTTCGCTTCTGATACTGAATTTCCCTTTGCCAAGTGCAGCCAAGCATTTGGTAAACATGATGATGGGTGTTGACTGTACAGATGTGCACAGGGTGGAGGGGGTCTCTGAAGGGTCGATGTCAATGTCAAGGACCAGGAGGTATTCAATTCCAGCTCCCAGAGCCCCTTCTGGGTGGAGCCTCCGCACCTTTGGGCACCAAGCACCTCTGCCACTCCATCTCGGCCACTCCTAGGTCCGTGGAGGACGGGTAAGCTCTGGTTCTGCTGCTGACCCACCTGTTAAGAGTGTCTCTCTGTTGTCCAGCAGACTCTGGCACCCATGTGTCTAGCAGTCACAGTGTGTGCTACCTGAATGCAATTGCGCCACCCTCCCCCAACTTCCTGCCTCCCTCCTACTGAGCTTCTCCGTCACATCTATTAGTACCTAACCTACTAAATATTTTCCTGAGTTATCTTGGGTTCTTTTCCCCTCTCCCTTTAAAACATGAGCTCCATGAGGACAGAGATTTATTTTTATCACTGCTCTGTCCTCAGCAATCGAGAGTTCCCGCAGGTCTCATAGTTGGTGCGCCGTGCATACCTGCTGATGGACTGGCGAGGAATGGATAAAGTGGTGCGGACTTACTAAACAAGAAGCCGCTTCACCAGTGCATAAACCCAGCCTCTTAGACTACACAGAGGTTTTCTTTTGGATTATCTGCTGTTTAGGTTACCCTTGACCTTGCTCCCCTCCTTGGGGGGTCAGAAGTGGGAGTGGACTGTGGTTGCCTCTCTCCTCTCTGGGCTAGTTCACTGGTCAGTGACCTGCCCTGGGGAATGTATGGCCTGGGGGGTGGGGCTGAACATCTTCCTCCAGGGCAGGGAGGGAGGAGGGGGCAGGGTCACCAGGGGAGGGGGGGGAGGGAGGGAGGGGAGCAGGTGGGCGTGCTCTTCTAGCAGAGGTCCCTCCTCTTGGAAGGAAACACGGGGGTGGGGAACGTGCTCCTACCATGACCTCCCGTGAGCACGTGGTGTCTGCCCTTCCACGTGTGTTTAAGAACGTGATGTGTGTTGAACTTTGAAAAATAACACGTTCACACATGATCACACAACCATGTATATATATATATTTGCAGCTTGCTTTTATATCTGCAGTATATCTTGGTCTTTTTTCTGTTTTCTTCAAAATCACCCCCTTTTAAGAAGCACAAGCAGCTAATGATACGTGAAAACAAACAGCATTTTCCCTAATATATTTGACCAAGAGCCACTTGTAGGATTAGATTCGAGTTTCAGCCCCTGGAAATGCCTCTTTCTTGATGTGAATTTCTAGGGGACAGAGAGTGGATGGGGAGCTGGTTTCGGTGGATCTGGTATCTCTCTAGAAGGTAGCTGGCTCCATTCCTATTACATTGCTAAAATATTCAGGTTATTTGGAATGTTATGAAAATTTCCCCAGACTTGTGATCTCAACATACCAGAGAGGAAACAGTCTTTGCCGCAAACCAAAGAGAATAGTTGAGTTTTGTCGTTTTAAAAAGAGTTAACATTATGTCCTTGACAAGCTACAGTCCTTCTGAGATACAGAATTTTGAACAATGTTAAAATTAATGGAAACGCCCTCCTTAGGCTTCGTACACCTCTAGGCTCCCAAGGAGAAGCCGCTGAATTTTTCAGAAGGACAATGAGGCCCTTATGAATCAAAGACGACCACTTTCGGTCCCCTCAGGCATCTTCAGTTTTAAAAGTAGATCACACAGCTGTGGGTAGGCACGCAGTACCTGGAAGCCTCAAGGTGGGAGGGAGCAGGACTGGGGTCAATGAAGAGGGGAGAGGACTATAGCCACCACCTTATTAGTCAGGGTGGGCTAGTATGTGCTGAGCAAACAAATGGACCCTAAACCCTGAGAGTCCTTCACTAATGGTGTGTCAGAGCCTGATCATACCAACAAAGGGGATTTTTAGCATCTCTCTGAGCTCTGGCTTCAGTGGGAAGCCTGAAATGGGCCATGGCGGGAGTATTTACACCACAGAAATTAGCCAACACTACAGATCAGGTCTTCTTTATCCAGAGAGCAGGTTGTTAACATAAGTGCACCGCTGGCCTTATGCATACAAACATACTGTCATGAAATATAGCCCAATATGTGTGTCTCTCTTGGGCAGCACCTCTCAATGCAGTCACTTGGGAAACTGGCTCCATTATTGCCGGGGCCTGAGAATCTCTGGGACTTTGCGGTCCTTCCCTGGCTCCTTTAATTTGCTGGCAAATGAGCAAGGGAAAGAATATGGAGGCCAATGGGAGCGTTTCTTATGAACCAGATGTAGAATGTGGTATCCACTGGTTTTACCCACATTCTGTGGCCAGAGCTGGCACCTGGCCCCAGCTTAACTGTGATGGAAACTATTTGTTTTGGAAGAGGAAATGTGTTTGGTGAGCACTTAGTATAACCCTCTCTGCAATCATCATGGAAAAGCGCATACATTTCTTTTCTCTTATTTCTTCCTTGCAGCGTTTGTCTGCTTCAAACTTACAACAGTGTATTTATATTCAAAATGGTTTGAAAGGGAGGACAAAATAAAGGACTTGGATCTCAGTTTGTACAACATCTTACCCCAACTATTTGTGTGAGAGTTTGTGTAACTTCTGGGAGGAGGAGCGTTTCCAAAGCTGGGAAGAGGCTCTGGGCATAGTAAAGCCCACAGCCCCAGAGATGTGCGCCCTGGCCCGCCGTGGGCTGGAGGTGGTAGCCAGTATTTCTTCCTTGTTTATCCACTTGCATCAGTCTTGATAAGCTAGATTATTTCTGCAGTAACAAACAATCCCCAAAGTCTCAGTGGCCTAAAACAAGGCTTGTTTCTCATGCTGAGTGAGTGTCCAACAGGGATCAGAATGGCCCTCGGCCAGGACAGTCCCTCATGGAAGCTGCCGGCATCACAGTTTGAAGCTCTGGGAGTCCCTGGCACCAGCTCTTAAATGCTTCAGACCAGAAAGTCACCTGTCACCTCCACTCACAGTTCATTGGTTAGAACTGATACATGGCTTCACTATCCAAATAGGAGGCGAGATTAATCCTCTTATGTAGTCAGCAGAGGAGACCGAACACTGGTGACGTTGACCAGACCAGCTGGTCTACCAGCTGGGTTTACCTGGAGCAGCGTGTGCTGTGGTTGGGTCTCTGGCGCCCCTGCAGTGGCCTTTGTTTTATTTCCACTTTTATTTTCCACAGTTCAAGAGATGGCTCCTTCTCCTTACCACGTGCATGTGTTAGAGCTGTAACACAGTACCACAAACCTGGCAGATTAAACAACAGAAATTCATCATCTCAGTTTCTGGGGGCTGAACATCTGACATCAAGGTGCAGCTGGGCTGCCTGTCTCCTAGGGCTAGAGCGAGCATCTGTTCCCTGCCTGGCAGGTGGCCGTCTTCTCCCTGTGCCTCTTCATGGCACCTTCCCTTTCTGCCTATTTGTGTTTGTGTCCAGTTTTTAAAGGACACTCGTCTTATTGGATCTGGGGTCCACCCTACCCCAGTCTGACCTCAGCTAATTACGTCTCCAGTAGTCTGATTTCCAGATAAGGTCATGTTCTGAGGTATGAGGGGTTGGGACTTCAACATATGAATTTTTGGAAGATGCATTTCCACCCGTAACACGCAGGGAGCGTCCTCCCTGGGGGCTCTGGTTTCACTGGTGTGGTCCCTCCTGGGCACATGGGTCACGTCCACTTCCTACCCCAGCCCAGCCAGGAGCTGACCTCCCTCCCTCGCTGCCACTGTGCTTTGTGCACACCTGTTACTCCCTGGGCATTATGTTGAAATGTTTTACTCAGTGGGTTTATTTCCACTCTCAGCCTTTAAGTGGTCCCCATAAGCTATGGGCTCCCTATTTCTGTCCCGGAGCCTGAAAGAGTGGCTCACACAAAGCAGACCCAACATGCTTTGGAGGCTGAAAACTGAGGGCCTCACTCCATGTCAGCCCAAGGCTGCAGACTGGAGGGATTTTTCAGTGTTAGGAGTGGAGGCTGCCCCGGGGGAAACTGATGGTAGGTGATCAGACCAGACCACAACCAGACTGAGACCGTATCACGTTATAACAACACAAGGGGATAAAGGAGGATCACAAGGGAAAAATAAAGGGGCTCTGAGTTGCTTTGTTTTTTTAAAAAAACAACGTCACCTGGGAAACAGCACGATCCCTTGAGAGATTTTAATAACGAAATACCAGCAAACCCGGAAGCCGTGTGTCGCGGTAGCCTCCACATCCAGATTGACTCTTATTAATATCAGTTTGCTTCAAACCACAAAGGAATGAAAAAGCAAGAAAGAAGAAAAATTAATCATTAAAATCCAGGGGGAAAAACACAGATTTTCGGCTTGATTAGGTATTGGAAATGGACAGTCACGTTACTAAGGGAGGCTGCCTGCCTGGTGATGGGTTTTTCTTTTTCTTTTTTTTTCTGTTTTTCAGTGATAGAAAAGTTCATTTTTCCTCTGGAAATTTCTGAATATGCAAAATCCCCACATTATTCTGTAAAGCTCCACATCGCCGTGGGTTTCTCCAGCACTGGGAGCAAAACGAAGCAAGACTTCCTTTCTCGCTCAGATAGCAGTGGTTGCGTCCTCGTTCTGTTCTTGAGTCCATTCTTCCCTCCTTAGTCTTTTCTCCCCAGACAAGTCCAAAGATCCCAGGGGGCTTACTCAGTCCGGAAGGGTCAGGCACGAACGGGACACCTGCGCAGGAAGACAGCACCAGCCAGGCAGTTCCCGGAGGACCCGGTTCCCCAGCTCTCAGTGCTGCCCCCTTCTGGCGCCTCCACCACCTCTCTGGCTGCAGTTCCCCTCCTCTCTGGCCCGAGGTTCTCAGGGTGCAGGAGAGGGTACCGCTGGCCCCAGGGGCAGCTCCCAGCCAGGTGCTCAGTCCCAGGGAACCAGGTCCTTCTGTTGCCACTACACCTGTTCCCCCGAAACACACTCATTTCACAGGGCAGCCCGGCCCGCAGGGATGCCAGTGTGACGTCTAGATGACAACCAAAAGCCCAGCTTAAGTTACTGTGTACGTGGGGGTGGTGTGGGGGTGAGGGGCTATCAAGGTACTCTTGGTGTCTGCCTGCGGGCCTTGGCCAGGCATGGCCAGGAGCTCTGAACCCCAAAGGGAAGGTGTGAACTGGGGCACCTCCCTTGCAGGAGGCAGGCATGCACCTTTGAAGAATGTCTCCCACAATCCTGGCAGCATGGCTGGTGTCCTTGAGCTCCTGTTGTGTCTCGGCAGGGCCCGTTGGCCTGGGCTGACCCAGCCTTCCTGCAAGGTTTGCTTAATCTGTCTTTGCTAGATGCAAGCACCCAGCCAGTCCCCACCAGCTCCTGCTTCTGTCGTTGCCCTGCACACTGTATGTTAAAGATACAGAGATTTCTCGATCATTTCCTAAAGTTTTTTCGAAGTTTGAACTTTATTTGAGAAGCAAAGGGCTGAGTTTTACATACTCTTTTTATGGTATTTCCTCCGTTACTTTTATGTTTAGGGCATCCCTTATGGGTTTTCAGTTTTTCTAATCTATCCATCCAGAATTTACTTTTGTCCATGGTATGATGTGAAGACACAACTTTTTTTTTTTTATTATTCCCACCCCCACCCCAGCTAGCCAATGTTCACGATTCCAAAAGCAGAATAATGTACCACCTCTCCATTGACTTGGGCCTTTGCTTTTTAACCCGATGAGTACATGGGCTACACTGTAGGCTGCCTCCCGGAGGGGCAGAGGTCAGCGCTGGCCAAGCCAACGCGTGCACAGACCTAGGAGCTCAGTGGTTGGGAGAGAAGAGATGCCAAGAAGCAGCTCCTGCAAGGTGACTCATTAAATGGCCAAGGGACACAGGTTCAGAAGCCACAGCTCCTGCCTCCAAGCCGCTTAGAGTGACTCGGAACGTAGGTAAACCAGGATTCCAGCATCACTGAGTAAAGCGCCTTGAGCGTGGTGCCCCTGGACTGCTTAGAAACCTGCAAGTAATGTTTCTGAAAGCCGGCCTCGTTTCCCTGACTAGATGGTTAATGTCACCGGGACAGCAGCCATGTCTGAGTTATCCTGAGACCTTCTGAGCAGGAGCAGCGCGACTTGCACAGGACAGGTGACCTGGGAGTGATCTCTCGAGTCCGGGCTGAAGCTGCGTCACCCGCCAGCCACCCCCCTGCCGCCTGCAGCTCTGAGTTCCCGCACTGACGAGGAGCAGGTGTGTTTTCCAACGGACTACGCGCCAGTCCTGCGTCCTTTCCACGGTTACCTTCGCCCTCCACAGCCTGCGGCTGGAGGGGCTCATTCTGGCATTACTG